TGTCGACCTGGCTTGCTGCGCTTGGGTGTCACCTCCGCCAGTGTGGGATTTAAATGATTGAAAGGGTAAGAGGGGAGAGGAGGCTGGAGCATAATATCCCATAGGAAAGAAATGAGCCTGCCGCATACTCCTGCGGCAGACTTGCCGCAGATCTGCAGCAGACCTGCCGCAGACAGTCATCTTTTTCACATGCAAATTAGTTTTGCCGCAGACTTGCCGCAGACTTGCCGCATACTCTTTCAGTATGATGAAGAGTCTGCGGCAGGTCTGCCGCAGACTTGCTGCAGACCTGCCGCATACTCTTTCAGTATTCATCATACTCATCATACTCATCATATTCATCATACTGAAAGAGTATGCGGCAAGTCTGCGGCATGCTGCTGCAGACTCTTTCAGTATGATGAAGAGTCTGCGGCAGGTCTGCCGCAGACTTGCCGCATACTCTTTCAGTATGATGAAGAGTCTGCGGCAGGTCTGCCGCAGACTTGCTGTAGACTTGCCGCATACTCTTTCAGTATGATGAAGAGTCTGCGGCAGGTCTGCCGCAGACTTGCTGCAGACCTGCCGCAGACTCTTCGTCATGAATATTCATATCTCATATAGACCTGCTGCAGACCTGCCGCATACTCTTTCATATCCAGTACGTGGCAATAAAGTATGCATGTAGAAGAACCAGTGATAAACTAATTGATACTTCATAATCGATATTGGCAATATCGATATTACCAATTAGGTAATACCAATATATATCGATATTACCAATTAGGTGTATTCTATTCTCAATTGTATTAACTTCATCACATTGATCATTTGAAGTGTATTCATGAGTAACATTTAAAGTGACACAGGCTCGTACACATATATATACTAAATATGTATATTGTTTCTTGGTTAGTAATCATAGTTTCTTGGTTAGTAATCAATATATCTATTGCTTAAACGTGAATGTTATTGTAACATGATCAGACAAAATAATCTATTGGTTAATAATGGCAAAAGGAAAATAGAAATCACAAAAATGATGTGCATTGTCTTAATTTGCTTAACAAATCATGATAGATGTATTTTTCTGTCACACGTGTAAAGTAATAATGAATATGCATGAGATGATTGGTTTCAATTGGCCCTATTAGACTTTAATGGGATTTCCTGTGGCAGACCTGCCGCAGACTGTTCCTGTGGCGTACTGGTATGCGGCAAGTCTGGAGCGAAGTTTCACCCTGCCGCAGATCTGCCGCAGACTGTTCCTGTGGCATACTAGTATGCGGCAAGTCTGGAGCAAAGTTTCATCCTGCCGCAGATCTGCCGCAGACTGTTCCTGTGGCATACTAGTATGCGGCAAGTCTGCAGCAAAATTTCATCCTGCCGCAGATCTGCCGCAGACTGTTCCTGTGGCATACTAGTATGCGGCAAGTCTGGAGCAAAGTTTCATCCTGCCGCAGATCTGCCGCAGATCTGCCGCAGACTGTTCCTGTGGCATACTAGTATGCGGCAAGTCTGCAGCAAAATTTCATCCTGCCGCAGATCTGCCGCAGACTGTTCCTGTGGCATACTAGTATGCGGCAAGTCTGGAGTAAAGTTTCATCCTGCCGCAGATCTGCCGCAGACTGTTCCTGTGGCATACTAGTATGCGGCAAGTCTGCAGCAAAATTTCATCCTGCCGCAGATCTGCCGCAGACTGTTCCTGTGGCATACTGGTATGCGGCAAGTCTGCAGCAAAATTTCTTTCTGCCGCATACTTCGGCATACTCTTTGCTGCAGACTAAAAGTCTGCGGCAGGTCTGCGGCATACTTTTCACTTTCCTATGGGATGCGGTTGAGTGGTTTTATATTAAACTGAATACTAAATTCTACTGCTTCCGCCTCTTCTTGCTTCTTTTCCTCCTTAATATTTCCCCCGCTTATTATATTGTTAACACGCACGTGTTTATAATTGCAAAATAACGATGTTCTTTTGTTATGGAACTGTTCTTCCGGTATCATGGGTATAGGTCAGTATTATAGATATTTGTAACCTGTATCTTTTATGGGTCATATATATTTCATTGGAATTTTATCTTTTGGTATAGGTCAGTGTTATGAATATTTGTAACCTTGAATGGGATATATATATATATTGGGATTGTGTGGTCATGTCGAATCCTGTTATGGTACAGGCCTAAATATACACTGTAATTTTGATTTCAAGAAAATGTATCACTGATAATCCTTTGTCTCTTTTAGTTTCCTTTCATTTTCTATAGTATCTTCTTTCCTTGCTGTCAGGGGAGATACGGTTATAATATGCTATTTAATATGCTATTTTATATTTTAATATGTTGCCATATACAGCAACATCTCCTACACTTATTCAATGTGCCAAATGTTAATTAGCCTATACATTTGTTTGTAATTGATTAATATTATATAATGTATCTGAAATAATGATACCGCATTTTGCATTTAATTACATCACTTATAATTGTTTAATAGGCCCTAATTACTTTTCAACTTTGAAGGTAACCCAAGGCTAAACTTCTTATTTCTGTTTTATGTAAATCATCCATTGGAATTGGGACAGGAGGCTTTATGCCACAGTAATTTAGTTAACTTTTTCTGTCCCTGGCGTTCGAATGGTTGATAACTATGTCTTATTTTGTATTGTGTACACTGATATGTAATGTTTTCCTTTGCCGAATAAATAATAATAATAATAATAATTTGATCGGTATTACCGAAAACAACCTGGAGGAGAAAATTGCATTTTCCCAACCCAAGCTCAAGCCAAGCAATACCTAATGTCTCCATGCTACTACCGTCTGCATTCCTGACCTTGACCCCAGTGAGATTTGGTCTCTTTGCTGAAGAGATCCGATGATACAAGGATGAAGACAAAATTGTGTCCGTTGCTCCACAATCTGCCAAAAGTCTTGCCTTCACCCCCCTAACCTCTACTTCAACAAAGAGTCCACAACGTGCCTTGTCCGATCTGTAATTTGTAGTTACTTGTCTTATAGAAGGTGCTCCACTTAGAGACTCTGTGTCTCTCCTGAGCCCGTGTTCTCGTCCAGCCTTCTCCCGGGCTCCTGAGTCGGCTGGGTCCCGTTTCCCGAAGGCTTCTGACTTCCCCGTCCCTGAGGGCAATCCCATTGGAAGTGTCCATGCTCATGGCATTTGTAGCACTCATCAGTCTCTGTTGCTTTCCTCCGCTTGTAGGCATTGGGTCTCGATTGTCTTGGTTCACTAGTTCTGATGGGTGTTTCCTGTTTGAGAAATCTCTCTTCCATCCTTTTGAGTTCTTCCCAGATCTTATTGATTGTCACCTCTGAATCAACATCCACAGCCCTTGACTGCCTTTGTCTCCGGCCAGACCTTTGTTCTTCTAGCTTGAAGAAGTTGTCTGTTGCAAGGGCTGCCTGAATGGCTTCATCCATTGTTGCTGGCTTTGATCGCAAAACTCCTTCTCTGATAGATTGGTCTTCTATTGCTTCCGAAAAATGTGTCCTAGCCAACCGATCCTGAGCATCTTCACTTAGCTCTGGATATGCCAATGTAGACAAATCCCTTATGGCCTGGCCTAACTCCTGTAGGGTCTCTCTTGGCCCCTGGCGCCTATGTAGCAGTTCCAGGAGGTAATTCTCAGCTAACTGTCCGGGCTTAAATCTCTTCCCTAAGAGATTCACCAGTTCGTGATATGTGATATGTGACGTATCTACTGTCTTGTTACCCAGGATCTTTATTGCGGCCCCCCTGAGACTGGCTGCAAGAAACACTTTCGCCTGACCATCACTCCAACTATTTGCCATCCGACAGGCTTCAAAATGGCTGACATAATCCCTCCATGGGGTCTTCCCATCAAATCTGTCAGGAGTTATGTTAGGCTTATTCAGCTTGACGACTGAATGTGGCTGAAATCCCATTCCATCTTTCAGCACCTCGGGTCTGCGCATCTCATAGTTTAAGGGTCTCATTCTGGGTGTGTCAACCTTAGGCATGTCCAAATCATGTCTATGTAGGAGGCTTGCCACTGGCGTCCCATTATCTGCTAAAAGAGCAGCTGTAGGAGTGCTGGTTGGAGCCGACATTGCCGCACGAAAAATTCCCTCTTTGGCTCCTGGATGAGCCTCCGTCACATCCTGTTCATTGCGAACTGTAGTGGGCGCTGTCTCACCCTGGAAGTAGTTGGGAAAACTTATTGGAGATTGCTCCATATGTAGCCTCTCCACTTGCAGACTGAGAAGTCGATTCTGTTCTAAGAGTTGTTGGTTCTCCATCTTAGACTGTCGAAGATCCTCATCTCCACGCTGAACCTCCGCTGCAAGCATCACAATTTCATCCTCCATAGTCACTCGTTGAGCAGCCATTATAGGATTCTCTATTATAATTATGACAACACAAACTCCAGTTCGGCGCTATATCTGCCGGCGCCTATATAGGCGCTATACCTCCAACGCGTAGGCGCTGTCACTGCCTGGCGCCTATAGGCGCTATACCTTCAACGTGGCGCCTATAGGCGCTATACCTCCAACGTGGTGCCTGTAGGCGCTATACCTACAACGTGGCGCCTGTAGGCGCTATACCTTCAACGTGGCGCCTGTAGGCGCTATACCTTCAACGTGGCGCCTGTAGGCGCTATACCTCCAACGTGGCGCCTATAGGCGCTATACCTAACACGTATAGGCGCTATACCTCCTACGTGTAGGCACTGTCACTGTATGCGTAGGCGCCAATTTACTTCCGGGTTCGCTATTGGAGGAGTTCGTTCTGAGTTGCTCGGCCACGTTGCTTCAATCCCACCGCTGCCACCAGTGTGGCGTAACCGGGCTCTGCCGGGGTAGCGTTCTGCCTTGCAGTCTGTCAAAATCCGGTCCACGCTCTCGACAATCATTCATCAACTATATCTCTCAGTGGGCTCTCACAAAAGTATATCGTGTAAGAAATAACGTGGATTAGCTCTCATTCACTTACTCCCGCAATCACAGATTATCTGACAGGACTAAAGAAATAACACTTACAGAGTGTTGGCAGTTTGGGTAACTTTATATAGTTTCTTGTACCTGTCGCAACGACAGCTCAACATCGACTGACCGACTTCTTACGATGTCCATGCACATATATATTTCACAATTATCAGTAACGCCCTCTATGTCTTACTAACTTACTGGACTAGTTATGCTACAATATTCTTGATCCGCCCTTATGTATTCTCACCTGTGGCGTCGCATGCTACACCTACATCTTCTGAATGTGTGCAGTCATGCACTCCCCAGCCGCTGTCAGTGCAGTATTCCAATCGCTCTTCATACCCATAGCACGTCACGGAATCGAGCCAAATCAGGCCCTCCACAGTACCATACCCCTTCTGATCGGCTGTGAAGTAATCCGCTTTCCCAGAGAAGCCCAACTGCCTGCAGACCACTTCGCTAGCTGCTCTATCCCAGCTATCATCGCAGACGCTGCCCCACTGAAAGTCCTTGAAGATCTCCAGGCGCCCTTTCCGTTCGGAGGGGCCATCAACCAATCGCACTTCTCCATTACCTACACCAGTCAATGATTAACAAGGGGTAGAACAGGGAGGTGTTTCACAAAGATTCTAAGTTGAACTTCTCTCTATTAAAGTTGGACTAAACAATTACGGAAAGCGGTTAGCATCTTTGAAAATATTTTGTAAAAGGTATTTTAAAAAGGCATAAAAAGTTGTAAATCAATCATATTTTCTATTATCATGGGAAGTATCATGTTCTTGATGTGGAATTTATGAAAAGTCTAAACTACTTGAATTTTTTGCTTTTGAATATGTTTTCTTTTAAGTCTACAAATGGCTTTCCATAATTCTATTAAGTCTAACTTAGAAATAAGTTTGACTTAGAAGTTTTGTTAAACACCCCCCTGATGTATTAAATAGGACAAATCAATAGAAAAAATATAATCAAATCAATCGAACCAATTCTAAATACACTCCACAAGTTTGGATTATTATCAGAAAGCAGTAAAGATGTATATTATTAGAAGTCAATGATTTAATCCCCCCCCCCCCCCCCCACACAAAAAAGCAACTTACCGCACATATCGTCGGCCGGGTGGCAGAAGGGCGTTAGCGACTCGAAAACTACTTTTCAAATTATTCCCCTTTAAAAATTTGTTTTATATTTAAACTGCTTTCTGTCCGAAAAATTGGTTCAAAACTTAAAAGACTAATAGAAATGTTATAGTAGAACACGGCCACAATTTTTTCTCTCAGAAATAAGTCAGTTTCATAACAATAAAAGGCGAATTAGTGCTAACGCCCTTCTGCCTAATGTTTCTTTTTTTTAACCTGAAATTTAAGCTAACACCCTTCTGCCACCCAGGCGACGATATACACACATAGTTGTGCCATTCAAATTACAGAGTTACAGAGAATATTCAATGAAAATTACAAAGTATGAAATATGACCAATAATTTATCCCTAGAAACCAGGAAATTTGCAGATGATATTCACATAAGTTTTAGGTCAACTACTTTTCAGATAATGACAAAAAATTAACACAAATAAGGAAATTCTCAGGATCTGGCTTATACGATGGTTTCACAAGAAAGTTTGGCCATGTTTTGATGATGTAACATCAGGGTCCAATCCTGCTTACGCAGACAACATCCTATAACTAATGAACATATTTTCAAACGTATTACACACCATTACAAATGGAAAGTGATGCTGATGCTGAAAATTATAATTCTTTGCTTATGAAAATCCAGTGCAAGGATAAATGATCGACTGACTTAAAAACCACTGAAATATCAGCCTAAAATTGGATGGTGTCCGATCTTGGTTGAAATGCTGCACATGCTTCGGTGTATGTAGCTGAATTGCTTCTTTCTTACAATCCAGTGTGAAGCTACCACTGATTTCTCTATTTTTTTTCATGTAGCTGCATTTTTTCATCAAAATGAGACCGCGTCCGAAATTTATAGTGAGGCAACAGATGAAACGGTTATGTTGAAACTGGTGAAGTAAGAGAAATAAGTGAAGAGGAGACAACAAAACGGGTACTGGAAATGTGTGAATTGTTATAGGACATCGTCTGCTTATGCTAAATCAGTCCCTAGAGTGACTGCACAAATCTCGGCAGTGTTTAGAGAGCTCTTCACGTGTGAAAGTGGGGCTGTATTTTACCGTTTTAAAATTGATAATAACTGTTACTTTGAGTGTTTCCAAACAGAGAATTTTGAATAACTTGTTTGATCTATGAAAGTACATGTATGGTGGTCTGGTGGATAGGTCAATGGACTGTGGATCACATCAACATGGTCCATGGCTCGAGTCCCTCCGGCCCCTTGCAAAACCTTAAATTTGACATTTTCTGTCCTATTTTGTTCAATTTTCACCAGACCGATTTTTCTGCTCTCTTTTAGATTAACGGTAGTTCATTATCAGTAGCTGCGCCATGTTGATCGACATACAGGTACAGTCAAACCTGCCTACAGCGACCGCCCAAGGGAAATACAAAAAGTGGTCTTTGTAGGCAGGTTCCTTTAGTACATGTTTAAATGAGAAAACCACTTTCAAGGGAAACAATAAATGTGGTCCTTGTAGAAAGGTGGTCTTTGTAGACAGGTGGTCACTAAAGCAGGTTTGACTGTACATGTTTTGTTGTCATTATTACAAAAGGACAATCCTGTTCACAAGACTTACCCGAAGTCAATGAGCACCTCACTCCGGCATCTTCTGCATGACTGCAGTTATGGACTCCCCAACTACTTCCTCCAGAACAATCACTCAACCTGTCCTCCGTGCCCCTGCACTGCATATCATCAAGCCATATAGTCCCAGAACCCTCGCCAAAATGAGCTCCCTCGTACACCGTGTCAACGCCAAAGTAGCCAAGGTGTCGACAAACTACCACTCCATCCTGGATGTCCCAGCTGTCGTCGCACACGGTGCCCCACTCACGGTCGTGAAAGATTTCGATGCGCCCCTCGTTTTCATCCGCTCCACCGGAGAGTCTCAATGTCTTTTCTAAATCTGAAAGACACATACAGATTAAAGAGAAGGTTGAGTTCTGGGAAGAAGTGAAATAAATAATTTGTGAGCATTATTTCAAATTTCACATTTATTCATGTTTCCAATAAAACATTACAAATCAATTATGAGCATTTAAAACAAAAGTAAGAAATACATGTTGGAAACAGAGGGGTCCACTAAAAAGCAATGGTATAAGAACATCAGAGTAAAAAAGTCCCCTGAAAAGCATGGCCCTTCAAATGCCTTTATATTCTAAAAATGGCATGCAGCAGCAGCATAAAAATAGGAACAGATGTATGTTCGTGTAGTCCCATATACATCTTTCTGTGTACGGTGCTTGTAACTTTACCAAGACTGGGCCAAATTTCTTATCATTTTGATGATTCCAGAACCTTGCAGTACACACCAATACTTATATGCTAGATGATCAACCTTTTCTGATCAATCCACACCATTTCTTTCACAATAGAATAATAATAATAATAATAATATTCAGCTTTTATAGCGTTTAATAATCCTGGAGTTCTCTAAGTGCTTTACAGATATATCATTTCCCTGGTGTGTGCACAATCTCCACTTCCAGGGGAGCATTCCAGCCAGGATACTCATTCTAACACCTGGGTCAATGTCGCTATTCATAAGGACCGCTATTCATAAGGTTCGCTATTCATAAGGTCCATTATTCATAAGGACCGCTATTCATAAGGTCCGCTTTTCATAATTGGAGAAAAGGGTCATTATTCATAAGGGTCATTATTCATAAGGACCGCTATTCATAATCAAAGAAGAGGGTCGGTATTCATAATATTAGAAGAGGGTCGCTATTCATAATAGGAAATCGGGGTCGTTATTCATAAGGGTCCCTATTCATAATATTACAAAAGGGTCGGTATTCATAACACAGAAAGAGGGTCGCTATTCATTATACGAAATGAGGGTCGCTTTTCATAATACAAAATGAGGGTCGCTATTCATAATGCAAAATGAGGGTCGTTATTCATAAGGGTCATTATTCATAATAAGAAATGAGGGTTGCTATTCATAAAAGGAGAAGAGGATCGCTATTCATAATAGAAGAAGAGGGTCGCTATTCACAATATTCGATGTTTTTAAATAGAATAAGCGTTGCTTATACCTAATATAATACATTCCTTTTCTGTGGGACTAAATAACTTTCACAATGTTGAGCATTAATTTCCATTACTAAGGTAAACACATGTTCTAAAGATATTTTTCTTTTTGCTAACATAAGTGATGACATGTTAACTGCAATGCAATACTTAAGACAGCCATACATCATTTATTTCATGCACTGAATTTGCCAGTATCCCTTGTCAATTCATAAAATAGAAAGCAAAATGTACAAATTTAAAAAACTTTAAATCCTGCAGTTGCTCTGCACAAAAGGGCATAAGTCTATATCACAGTAGCTATACTGTACTTGGAGTCTCATAGAAAAGGTATGGAATATAAATGTACATGTACTTCCTATGTGCAAGTCTAGTATGGTTGATGTATAAGAAATAACATCATTTTCTATTGTAGTGAGACTAACTTTGATCTGTTCAAATATTTGGATGCCACTGTCATATATCTTTCCCAAGACTTTAAAAAAAAAAATCAGTTTGAATTACTTGAAGTGCCTACTTTTTCTTTTCTGGTACTCAAAGCCTTGCTTGCCAGACAATTTTGTATTATTTTGTGTACATGTATTTACAAGGTACAATACATGTATTACTTCTTGATCTATCAAAGTGTCTATAGAGCGTGAATGTATGTCATCCTGGAGAATATCTTCCTGAAAAAAAATTATTGCAAGATCTATAATTTAAATCCAAGATTAACGATAATGCAAGTTTATTCCAGTGAAGGGATGCATACAACATATATTTTGTTATTGAAACATCTAAAATATGTTTCATAATTTTTATTTTCTTTCCGAATCATTTTCTGGCACACCACCCTCAAAAAATGCTTGGGTTGCAGGGGCCTTTTAATGGTCTTCACATTGTGGTGGTATTCAGGGATAAAAAGAAGGAATTTTTATTTTTCCCTTTTTGTTGTTGTAGTGCAAAAGTTAATATTTATGTGTTTTACTTTTACAGTACATGTTTTCTTCTTTCTCCTGTGATTGTGTACGTGAGAAATATTAAAACTTATTGACTTTTTCAGAAACAACTCATGAAGCTTGAATGCAGTTATTGTCTCAGTAGAAGTCAATCTCATGTCAAAAGAAAATTATGTTTAGATGAATTACTCCAAAAACAAGCGAAACAACATGATTTGATTTAAACAAAAAAGGCATTTATTAAAAACCATTTAGCAGCTCAACAGCTGAATTACATTGAGTGTACATACATCATGCAAAATAAACATTCATATTTTTTTTTTAATCAAAGAAATTATGTGGTAAAAAAAGATTAGGATGCAAGGGAGAAGAGAGAGGGAAGAGAGATAAAATGTGAGAAGAGGGAAATGGAAGAGAGACAAAGATAGAAATAGAGGAGAAAGGATAAGAGTCAAAGATAGTCTGAGAGAGTAAGAGAGAGAACGGGGGGGGGGGGGGTGACTTATAAACCGAATGCTGATATTCAAACAGAATGTTTATCAAGTGTATTAGATCGAACAAAGGATTTGAATTATGAATTTAATTAAGTAAAGAGTAAAAGGGTAATGAAAGGAAAGGAAATAGATTTAAAGAGAGAGAGAGAGATTAAGGAAAAAGAAAAAGGTGGATGAGAAGTGGAAAGAGGAGGAGAAACCACATAAGAGTTGAAAAGGAACTTTCGTGGAATAGACTTAATTTAGTGTTGTACCCAGGGGCGTCGCACAGTGGGCCAGGGAGGAACCAAAGTGTGCCAAAACTAATTTATGGGGATTTATTTTCTATAAATCCATAGGAAATGTTTGGATGTCCAGGGATTTCCGCTTAAATGGTATTACCAACATTTTCTCTGATATCTAAGCTTTAAGTTGATACCAGATTTGGCTGCCCGATTGTGCCCGTTATTATGTTAGAGCCGTTTTCTTTGCAACATTGCCCCGAAAAATGTGTTTATTTTGGTCCGCGGTGTCAGAACAAGTGTCACGCGCCCCCAAGCGCCGTGATTTATGACCGCGAATCCTTTATGATTCAGCCGCGGACTAAAAACAAACATATTTTGCGGGACAATGTGGCAAGGGGAATCGGCTCTAACATGACAACGGGCAAGATCGGGCAGCCAAATTTGACATCAATTTAAAGCTTAGACATCAGACAAAATGGTGGCATTAAAATATAAGCGGAACTCTGCAGAAATCTGCATTTTTCAGTGAATTAACCTTTAATATATCATGAAGATTGTGTTTCTATACATTTTAACCAATTCATGCAACGAAATAAACTATCAGGAATATGTGAGAGCAATTTCATATCAATAACTTAAGAACTTCATGTTAAATTGAAAGATTTCTAAAATAAGTCACTTTTGCACTAAAACTGTGAATATGTAGGATTTCGCTGTTTGAAGGAGTAAATTTATTCCCTAGTTGTGCTTACCGGAATTAAATATTTTACTGAGGTATTCCTCAATGTATTACAGTTCAACTGGTCAAGAAGAAAATTGAAGAGAAATAAATCACCAAAAACGAGTTTTGGCGCACTTTGGTTCCTCCCTGGCCCACTGTGCGTTGCCATGGTTACGCGGACGAGCGTTGAATCGGCTGTGCGTAAACGAAACAGTACAAATGTGTACCGATTATGCCTAATAATAATCGATGGACGTGGGGAGGAAAAGTGCCTGCACATGCAGTGTAGCAAATTCTCGCAAAAAGAAATACCATACATGGAAAGCTTAGGTTTGGGCGGACATTTTGAGATTAACATCACTGCGGGAATCGGCCGGAATCCTAATAAACATGCTACTTTTATAAAAAATTGCAATTTTTTTTTTTTTTGTGAAATTTAATGCTCATTTTTCCCAAAATGAAGCTTCCATAAATTTGGTCATTGTATTCTCTAATTGGGTTACCAATAGGCAAGAAGTGCACGCAGTATCAAGTTGATTGCTTTTCCCTTCATAAATTCTCAACACCTATTGTAAAGTTGCCACTTTTATTATTTTTGGAGCAACATATAGATTTTCCCATGTTCGCAGGGGTATATGACACTTTTAAAACTCGCTAAATATTAAAATATGGGTGGAAAAATATTCTTTAGAATGTTTTCTTCCCCAAGCGAATGAAAAAAAAAAAAAATTCACATTCGCCAATTTTGAATTTTGGCACACTTTGAGGCGATTCTGGCCCACTGTGCGTCGCTAACAAGGGGTGTGTAGGGTGCGACACCACCCTCCCTCCACCTATATTATTGCCGTTAAAATTGCGCTGCCATCGTGAAAAAATGAGAAAAGGTGGAGGGAAAGAAAAGAATCAAAAGAAAAGGGAAAAAGAAAGAAAAGACAAAAAAACATTAAGATACCCGTATATGTCGCTGTGTCTGGTCGGCTGTGTCCGAATTCTCGCTCGATCCTCATGCACTGTAAAAAAAAGTTGGGCAGATGTTACTGGGTAAAGCGAATTTGGGCAAATTTTGTCCGATAATTGGGTTATTTTCTCCCAACCATTTACTATATGAAGTTACCTAATGAATGGTAAATAGATGGAATTCGACTGCGCGCAGTCGAAAATGATGCCTCCGTCATAGAGCAATTTACAAACCGAAACGGAAGAAATTTTTAAATTCAAGTTCAATTGTAATCCATTAACATGTTCTCAGAATATCGTGATTACAAGCAATTTCTCATAAACATATATGACCCTTTGATCTTTGACCTCATGACCCTAAAATCTACTCAGTTCATTGGCTCTGCAAGATTTCCTGAGTTAAATAGTAATCCATCTGTCAGTTCTAATGAGAATGCGTCCACAAGCTATTTTTGCATACATAATGAGCCCATGACCTTTGATCTTATGAACCATTCATTGGCTCTGCAAGATACATAAATGATCTAAGTTTGGCAGGAATCCATCAATCTGTTCTAATGATTATACGATCACAAGCTATTTTTGCATACATAATGAGCCGCATGACCTTGACCTTTACCTCATGACCCCAAAATCTAATCAGTTCATCAGCTCTGCAAGTAACATACATGACCAAAGTTTGGCAGGAATCCATCAATCGGTTGTTCAGATAACGCGATCACGAGCTGTTTTTGCATACATAATGTGCGCTGTGACCTTTGACCTCGTGACCCCAAAATCTAATCAGTTCATTGGCTTTGCAAGATACATACATGACCAAAGTTTGGCAGGAATCCATCAATCGGTTCTTCAGATAACGCGATCACAAGCTGTTTTTGCATACATAATGAGCCCTGTGACCTTTGACCTTTGACCTCGTGACCCCAAAATCTAATCAGTTCATCAGCTCTGCAAGATACATACATGACCAAAGTTTGGCAGGAATCCATCAATCGGTTGTTCAGATAACGCGATCACAAGCTGTTTTTGCATACATAATGAGCCCTGTGACCTTTGACCTTTGACCTACGTGCTCCAAAATGTAATCAGATTGTTTTCCTATAGTGATACACACTATCACTAAGTTTGAAGTTTAATCTCCAGTGGTTCTTGAGATATCATGATAACAATCTCAATGTATGGAATTTCATAAGTTGACCTCTGTGACCCTTGACCTTTGACATACGTGCTCCAAAATCTACTCAGATCGTCTTCCTATGGTGATACATACTATCCTTAAGTTTTAAGTTTAAATCTCAAATGGTTCTTGAGATATCGCGCTAACAAACTCAATACAAGGAATTTCATAAGTTGACCTCTGTGACCTGTGACCTTTGACCTACGTACTCCAAAATCTAATCAGATCGTCTTCCTATGGTGATAAATACTATTCCCGAGTCTTAAGTTTAAATCTTAAATGGTTCTTGAGATATTGTGATAACGGTCAAACGGGACGGACGGACGGACGTACGGACGGACGGACGGACGTACGGACGGACGTACGGACGGACGTACGGACGTACGGACGGACAACCCGAAAACATGATGCCTCCGGCACCACCCTTCGGTGGCGGAGGCATAACAAGGAGATTCCTGGTGTGTAGGAGACCCCTGTACATTTAAAACTTCTATATGAATGTTATGTTAAAACAAATGACCTAAATTTCAGATAAAACAGAATTTTAGAAGGTGTTTAAATTGTCGGAATGGCCGTTCTTTATTCTGTACTAATGACTGAAATTTCAGAATTATATCCTGCGTTCATGAAATACCTTATGCATATTTTCTAATGCCTCATCACACTTTCTTAATTCAAAATGGACTGTGAATAATAAATTATACATGTACTTTAGTCTAAGGAAACTCTAATGACATATTATTTGATCAGGTTTTCCAACCCTCAAAAGATAGCGCTAATTTTAAAGTACATTGTACTGTATAGCCTTTTACTTTGATATTTGCAAATTTTGATAAACTTTTCACATAAACATATACATCATCCTTCTTTGAAAAAAAACACCAGCACTGTCCACATCGTGAATGGCAGTGCATCTGGGCTTCTGAATCCTCAAACATCAACCAGAATTAACAGGATTTCCATATTTACAAACATGAGAAACATTCTAACAACTTGATATAAATGCCATTTCAACTTAACACACAAAGAAGTTTTATAACATTGCAACTTTTTACAATAGATTGTAAGAGAGAATAAAAAATCTCATTAACAGAGAAGCATCTGAAACAAACAAGAGCCCTAGGGGGGCACAACGTTCACCCGAGGTCGATCAATTCACATCTGGCGCATGTTCTCTCTGGCACCCACAGGAGATATGAAAATGTTCGTTTCTCCTGGAGGCCACCCCCCCCCCCCCCCCCAAGTTACCCCCACTTGGCCCTCAGGGCCACCCACATAAATGTCATGAACAATGTGTATTCTTCATAAATTGAGGCATCTGTAAGCATAATACCAGGTATGGCTTACTTCTGGATCTAGAGTAGATGTTTGCATTTACATAATTTATTACTCTTGGGGACCTTCAACTGGGCCCCTGGGGCTGAATTGTAATTTATAAGCAACTATGGATCCCCTACACTTTAGAATGATTTCAACCACATTTGGATGAAATATAATCATTTATTTAAAGAAGTAGAAAAAATGCTCATTTCACCTGGTAGTTCCCCCCAACATGTTATCCCCACAGGACCCCCTCAGGGCTATCCAAAGAAATGTCATGAACAACTTTCATTCTGTATCAATAGAGGTATCTTTACACCATAGTTCTGGATCTTAAGAAGAAGATGTTTACAATTAACATATTTTTTACATTTGGCGTCATCCCCCAGGGCCCCCTAGGGGCCATGCCCACCATTTTAGCAACTTTGGTTCCTATACCCCTGAGGATGATTCCTGTCAAGTTTGATTGGAATCCTATCATTGGTTCTGGATAAGAAGATTAAAATGTACAAAGTTTACGCACAATGGACGACAACGACGCACCCATAAGGGCCTGTGGGGGTAACATTTTTTTAGGGCCCTACTACAATTTTGTTTCTTTTTATCTATTATTATTGGTATTATAATTATCATTTACATAATATATTCTGATGTAAACTTCAGAGAAATATTTGAAACAAAACCAAGTATACATGCAAGTTTCATTTTATGAGACACTGTCATAAAATAAAGTGAAGACCACCACATGAAATTTCAAAAAAGACCATTAATAAGTAATTATACTTCGGTCTCAGGATACCCTAAACATGTTATTTGGCAAATTTTTCCCACCCTAAGAAAGTAAAGATATTGTAAAAGTATGACTTTTACTGATAATTGCATTTTGATAACCTTTTCATGGTAAACAC